TCTCCTTCTCTTTCTCTTTGTCGCTCTTATCAAGAGAGCCTCGACGGTACGACCTCACTCATACTCTCTCTCTCTCTCTCTCTCGTTGTATTGCTCGCTCGGCTGATCTTTCGAGGAGGGCGCGTTGGGGCGCTCGCCAACCACTCGTGCATCCTCTGATTCGTGCTCTGTTTCGAAATTTCTTCAATAACGAATGAAATTCGCTGTTCCTTCGGAACCGTTGCGGTGTGTGTCGCCGCGTTCTCCCTCCTGCGTTACAGCTCGCTCGCTCGCTCGCTCGCGCGCGCGCGCGCGCGAAGGGAAACGACGAGGCCAGAAGACTCGGAAGTTACGACATCCGGTACACAATACTACCGTTTCCTGTCTCTCGTGACCCTTGGTCTCACTTGGTCTAGTCCACGTGACCCCTCGCGCAATTTCGACTCAACACGCGCGCACACGCGGCACTTGAGCGTGCGCGCACGCAATATCTCCGCCACGTTGATTTTTTTTTTTTCACAACAACTTGGTCCTCTCGGGTTTCAAACCCTTTTCTCGTACTCGCGTACGTTGCCTAGAACCGCGTGGCCAGCAAAATGTCGCGTGACTCTTTTGTCGCTGATCGTGTTGGATGGTTCTCGATGAAGAATCCTCGTGAGACTTCTTTGATATCTCCTCCTCCGCGTTGGCCTGCGAGCACACGCACTTGGCAGAAGCGAGCCATCGCGCCTCGGCCACAATACGTTCCCCACAATAGGTGGTTGATTCCTTTCTAAATCTCCGGCGTTTCCCTCGCGCGATGCGATGCGATGCGATGCGATGGGTTGAAGCACGCGGATACATTCACCGCCGTGACCGACCGATTGTCCCGCAGGAGCGTGCGTACCGCGTGCTGTGCGAGCTTGGAAAACCTCTGGATAAAAGAGGCGAAATCACTCTGATTTGGACCTTTTCGTTGCCACCGCCTTGCTTCTCTCTCTCTCATTCTCTCTGGCTGCGAGCTTCCCGTCGTCACGTGCATGCATGCGTGCATGCGTACATCGCGGCATGGCGAGTGCATACACAGTGCCAGGTCGTTGAACGAGCAGGGGGTACCGAGGACAACAGTAACGACTGCACCAACCCACTTGTCTCGACCCTATACAAGTCACGTGCACGTACAGTGCTCGGCAATAATGGTCCCCAGAGGGTGTGACCTATTCTATATGCTGGATTCTCGCGCTCGGCCGACTTGCTGGTACCAACATACTTTGGTACCGCCGACTCCCCATGGAAAACTGCGAATAGAAAACGTTTTATCAGACAGGCGCACGTTTTGTCTAGACTCTTTTTTTTTTTTTTTTTCTTTCACTTTTTCGCAGCCGGAGCTTTCTAGTTGAAAATCGATCCTTTCGACTCCTTTGATAATCGATGGATATCATCTTACGGATAAATAAAGCATGGATAATCGCAAGAAGACGAGTAAAATTAGTAGATCATTTCGCTTGAAATGAATGATAGTAACGCGAAAGCTGGTTAAATAATTCCCGCGGACTACTACTCGCGGTATCGTATCGTATCATACAGCCACTGAACTAGTCCTTTCAGTTCCCAGCGTTCGTTACGCCAATAACAAATTAATAACAAATAATAAATTTCGCTGCACCGATACCGACAAATTCGCGATTAGAAAACGAGCGTATCCATGTATTATTAATGATACCGATGAATAAGTGATCGTAAAGCATTCTCAGCCTCGCTCAACCGGTGGTACTTTGTTGCAAGGCACGCCTCTCTCTCTCTCTCTCTCTCTCTCTCACACACACACACACACACGCTATTGCTTTCTTCGACGAATTTAGCATGGCGAAGTCCCACTCGTACAAATATTTTGAGCCCCTGGCTCGAGATATTCTGTCTGTTGGTGGATTGCGAAATACGCAGCTCGGACGGTGTCGGACGATGTACGAGGACGAAAGTAGGTAGGTAGGTAGGTAGGTGGGCAGACGGAAGTCAGTTTAACGGTATCACCTGAGAGTTCAGTGAGGCTTCGATCCTTACGCGTGGAACGGGGTTTCACGAAATTCGTAGTTCTCTCTCGTGGCGAGAGAGTTTCTTCCTCGCGGCGTTCTTCAACGCTCGTATAGTTTTCTCTTCCTTTCTTTTCTCTCTCTCTCTCTCTCTCTCTCT